AATGCAAGGTTATAGTCTTTTGTGTAAAAGTTTGTAAAAATGCAAAGACTATAGTCTTTTGCTTAAAAGTGTGTAAAAATGCAAAGACTATAATCTTTTGCGTAAAAGTGTGTAAAAATGCAACAACTATAGTCTTTTGAGTGTGTAAAAATGCAAAGACTATAGTCTTTGATAAAGGTAAAAATGCAAAGACTATAGTCTTTGTGATATTGACATCACCATCTAAAACTAAGTCTTGCATTTCACACATTTTCATGCCAAAGACTATAGTTCATGCATTTTCACCCATTTTTATACCAAAGTTAATGCATTTTTATGCATTAGAGTTTTATTGTTTACCCACTATAAATCATGCATTTTCACGCATTTTCATGCCAATTATTGAATTTACCTGTGAATGAACGTGAACTGATCCTTCTACAATCTCACGGAGAAGCCGACACATTTTCTTTTCGTCCTTGTACTATCTCTCGTTGATAACATTTCTTAGAGTACTCTTCTTACAATGTGCCATCTACATATACAAAGATTGTAGAGTACACTTTCGATCAACGTTAAAATCTCTTGTGGTGATTGCTTCCTGTTCACATTCGAAATCAGATTTCTCGTCCTAAAGGCAAGATTCCGGTAATTATTTTTACATATCTTCAGTAACATCATTAACAGTTCCCACGACTATATACCACGTGAGACAACGAGCTTCCAAACTGTATATGTGGATTCATCGATGTTTCTTTTGAAAATATCTTCGGTAGACTCGTTGTTATTTGTGGATTGTGTTTGTATTGTAACCTCGTCCTCACACGAGCTTTTATAGTCGTCAACATGCTTGGAATCATTCGTGTTTTCATTGGTCCACGAGTCCTTATCCAAGACTCTCGAGCGTACGCTATGTGCTTCAACTACGTTCAATTTCATCAAGCTATCTTTAACCTGGCGTCGTTGTTTCTCCTCTGTCATGCTTGATTTTGTTTCACTGTTGGAAGTTTCATTTTCAGATATTTCTTCTACCTCAATCCACGAATTATAATATCTGTCATAAATATATTAAAGCATTGTTTATGTACAAAATATGCAGACACAAAAATATCGAGAGAAATAAAAACATCTCTAACATCGTCACGGATATTACGAGTGGCGTAACAAAGTGTAGATGAGTTTGATATGCATTTGTCAAAACAAGCTCAAGAAGACAAAATGCATGCCAAAAATGTATGATTGAAAATTTGCTAAGCGCATGTGCAAACACAAATTTCAGAGCTCGCTCTCTCACAAATTAATTGAGAATTAATCATGGAAAAAGGGATTATCTACCTTTTTATAATAGTTTCTACAAAGATAACATTTAATAAACCAACTAATTTGTATCGTCTAAATTAAACCTCGCTTTCAACCCTTAAGTTATAAAATTTTGATTCATTTTGGATAGTAAATTTTTTTTACCTTACAATATTTTCATGATTCAATCTAGAAAGTAACTTCACTTCTCGAGTAATTTTGTGATTGAACAGTACACTTTTTGGATTCAAAGGAATTCTTTTGATCGCATAGAGACAGCCGTCCATTTATTACGTACCTAAGCGTATATAAAACAGAAAAATTGTAAAATTGAATTGGAAAATTTAAGTCATTGAATTGGAAAATTTAAGTCATTTTCAATATATGTATGTAAACCAATCACCATTGTCATTTTACATCAATTTGCGCTTCAAAAACACTACCTTTTCTGGAATTTCGTTATCGTTTAACTGATAAGCGGTTTTAGCAAGAACACAAACTTTTTCTTTAAAACCATTTGCTAGCGCGATCTAATAAAAGCTATTTAATTATCAAATCTTTCTTGAATTGCATCAAGGGACATTTGAGAAATGAATACCTGTTTAATTATACGTCTGGTCGCAGTTTCTGGCTCTAAAACATAAACGTTGTGAAATGAATATTATGAAGGAGGAAAATCTATTTCATATAAAAATATAGCGAATGTATTGGAATGGATTAGTGGAATGTACACCTTACCTTTATTAACTTTCAATGGTGAACGCATGAAATAGATTCCTTGCATCCAATGATCTCGCCACTACAGACACAAATGTACAATGTTGAAATTTGAAAACCTGTCAAAACAATTATACAACAGGAATAGGTTCAATCAAAACAACTACCTTAAACAATTCAACGACAAAATAAAATCGCCATGTTATGTGTTGACCTGCAGTCGTGTTGCCATTATGACGGTTGTCATTCATTGATCATTTCATGAACATCTTTTCACAATAGCTTCACAATAAATAGTGGAGTATTTGATATGTCAAACCCACTGTTATGCTATAAATTGTATTAATTCAGCAAATAATAAAATATTTTACACAATACTTACGATAAAGAGCATTGACAGGATGAAATCTTTTAGTAACATGACGCGGAAAGGATCGGAAAAAGTTATATAAATATGATCACGTGTTATATAAATATGATCATGTGTTATATAAATATGACCACGTGTTATATAAATACGATCACGTGTTACATAAATATGATCACGTGTCATATCGTACCGTGGTCATGTTCAATCCTGTTTTTCCTGACTTCTTTCTCTATGAATCTTTGTAACGGTATCAACAAGGACATTAAAAGTTGTCTTTACGACTACTGCACCTCATTTTTCGATCATTTTTCGTGATTATATTAGCAACCAGATGAAATAGATTCGCATTGCCCTCGGAGGCAGCGGAGCCGGGTGGTTTGAACAGTACAGGAATGATAGTCCCGTTCTCAATAACAATTAATTTATACGAAGAAATTTGATTTTATAAAAAGAAATTTGATTTACACAAGAATTACTTTAGCAAAACGCGATATTTAACATCGCTTGAGGTTCATGACTAAAAACTATGTTTGGTTTTGCTAAGGTTCAGTTTTTGTAAAGGCAACGAGTAGGTCTCATTTGGGATTTCACCCCCAGCAAAAAATGATACGTATGTCCATGAATGTACTTGTGTGGAATAATATGTACTATTAAGGATAAATAGATATAGCATTGTATTGTATAGTCCACCATAAGATATCACAAAAATCTCTTGTTCCATCACCTGAACGTGAACACAGTATTGGCTTTAATAAATATAATGACAATCAAGTTAAAGTGCTAGTTAAAAACAAACTCAAAGAAGAAGAAACGTTTAAAACGCCCATAAATGTTAAAACAAAAACATGGACTTATTGAAGCCGTGAAAAAATTAACAGAACAAAAATAAAGGCAAGAAATCACTGTATAAGTGTCATTTTTGAAAAACTATGAACCATTTAGCTTTCTTTGCTTTATCCTCATTTGTACATTGCTATCTCTTTGCTTTGATACAAACAAACGTATGCATCACTTAAGATCCTACGTACTCTGTCAGGCATTTCCTTGTCAGAAGTGTTAATGATGCGATCTCGATTTTTCTTTTCTGAAGACAACCATTCTGTTATTTCGGGACATTCTGTTACAGATGGAACATTATAACCTTCTTTTGTACCTAAAATCATAAAAAATATAGCTATTATAAAGACAGTCAACTGACTTTAGAACAACCAATTTTCTATAGATTTCAATGACTTCAGCATTTTCTCCCTTTATCACTAAAAAATCTTCTGTTTACATCTTTCAACCGTTTAAGTAACTTGCAAAATCTCATTTATTTAATACACATCCTTACCAATCCTGTCGGCCATGCTGTCAAAGAAACACCATCTAACTACACCATTAGGCTCATCGCATTTAACAAACGTTACATAGTGACTTGTGTTGATACAGATCACAGCAAATAATTCCATTTCACGATGTTCTATGGCTTTATTTGCGTAACTAGGTGAAATTTCACGAGGTACAACCAAAGGTTGACGCTTGTGTTCTTTTCGTTTGATATGAGAATGTACACGTATGTTACAATCGTTACAAAAGTTTCCTGAAGAGTCTTGATCACTACCATTTACTGTAAAACACTCAGAGCAATGAAATCTTGCTAATACACCACAGACAGCGCAGTCTTGAGGAGCTAGAGTATTAAAAAAATCACATTAACAATGTGTACTATTGTACTTAGGTTCATGATAGCATTGATTTAATCAAAGTCAAATTGCCAGCTGTGTTACAATCAGGAAACCAAAGAAAAATGAATTGAGAAAAAAAACAAGGCACTTAGAACCTGTGAATTGTGTCCTTACAATTAGGATGAGCTATTTGGTGTTAAAACATCGCTGATTGTTGTCTTCATCACTAGTGTTAAATCTTCATTCCGTACATAATGTCTTAATCAGTTGAAACACAAGTCGTTAATAGCCCAATAATCCGAATTTTATAGTTATCTGATGTTGAAAATTCATTCCTATACTACTAAGATATACAATGAAAAATACCCTACATTAAAGTAAATAGTTGCATCAAAATATAGGTTAACAGTGAAAAAGTTTAACCATTTCTTACAATTTTCTACTAACTCGCCAATGTTGATGGTCAACGATGGTAAAATACGGTCGTACATCTTGAATTGTTTACCAAAACGAGGCATTTGTACGATTAAACATGACGGTATCTACACAAATAAAATAAAAAATGAAAAATATTTTAGGGAAACTTGAAGAGATTGCCGACGTTATTATAACGAGTTTATGTGAAAACATAACATAAATAGTATTTATACCTCGGTCAGTTTCAAACCAGATTGATGAAAAGATTTTTTGAGAAGTTCTTCAACTGAAGGTAAAACGCGTTCAACATCTTTATCTGCCAAAACTTGATAAATATATTCATGTCGTATTTCACTTCCAAATCTTAAAAACATCAAAGAGAAGATTGTCTTTATTCTTCGTAAATAAGGATCATCATGAACATTAGTGTAAAATAACTATCTTTTAACGTAGTATACGTTATCTTTAACAAAATATCCTTTCAATACGTAATGTCATGTTTATATGTTCATCACAAGGATCTTTAGATCTTACTTGATTTTCAGCAAAGGTTCTGATTTCAACACTTGATTCAAAAGAGTGCTTAAAAATTCTTCAGGGTCTATTGTTGAATAAAAAAACAATAAAATCAAGATGAATCAATATATAATTTTAAACTATCCATTGTTACCCTTTTCCTCTCCCATTAATCCTGCCACAGTTCCTAAACGATCCAAGAGTTGTCTAAGTTCCATAACGCGATCAGCACGAACAAATCCATTTCTGCAACAAATATACATGTATGGTCAATGTTAATTTCACATTGCATACGTTGGTAAAGAAAACTTTCCACGAAATATCGTTGTAACGACTTACGTTCTTAGAGGATACACAATATGATTTCTTAGAACTGTTTGTACTCTCTCATAATCTTTTATATCATTCTCGTCTTTTGGTCGTAGTAATATAAAATCAAGAACGGAAGAAAATGAAAACGCAGCAAATAAAGTTGCATCAAGGTAACATGAATTATGGTGTCCTTGAATGCCTCTGACTCTTTCTTTAACATAAATATTGATTGTTTCTGGTGGTGGAATGAATTCATCTTCTGGTATTATTGGTGAATCGTAACCACCAAACTCTGCAAATGAAAAGTCAACAAATATGTTTTTACAACTGCTTTTGTGTATCATCACATCAAGTATGAAGAGTTTGATCTTCTTTTGTTCAAACTCTTCCTCATCACATTTCTTATTTAAAGTAAGCATAGTATTGTAATAATTGTAAACTATGTCTATATGGAAATATAAAATTTCACTTGAGATACCATGTATTAAACTTACAATACTCCTTCTCTGAACATCTTCTATTCATGAAGAAATTTACCTGTTCCTGTCAATCGCCTGTTGGCTGGGTTTTTAATAGGCTTCTCCAGGAATCTTGAATCAAGCTGACAATTATGAAGATGAACAAACAAAGCTCGCCCATTCTTACACGTGAAATATCTTTTGCCCTGAAAAGTTCCATCTGATCCAGCATCCACGTCTTCATCCTAATAATAAAAAAAAAGGTGATCAATGCAAAGACAACCCACAAGTTTGATTGTGCTAAGTGGTCAATTTTTAGGTGTTTACTGACTGTGAAAACAACATATTTCTAAAGAAATAAATAATACTAATGATGAAAAATTTACATAGCACAACCAAATATAAAATATTTTGTGATTTTATATGAGTAAAAACTTACAAGTTCCAATCCTGCAACCTTTTTTTCAGTATTTGGAACAAATCTAGCCATCGAATAATTCCATATTTTGGTTTTGCATGACTGCTCAAAACTTCCACCATTGTACCAATTTCAAATGTACTTTGTAATGGAACACTAGCTATTCCTGTAGTAAATATAATATTGAAAGTTCTTGAATGTAAGTACTACAATGAAAAATGGAGCTGATCATTTTATTTACAAGATGGAGTGGATTTCATCAGCAGCATAATCTAGATAATCTAGATAATCCAGATTACCTTCTGGGACTTGGTATGCGTTCTCATAGTTTACATTGTTTGAAACATGATTAGATTGAGATTGTTGTAATTCTTCCACTGATGCTTCTTCATTGCTTGATTCTTTTTTTGCTTCATTTTTTATTTGCCTCAAAATTTCTTTTTGATGATTGTACACATCCTCAGTAGATTCTCCCGCAAAATCTGACTCCATTTTTAAAATATCATCTGTTGTTTCACAAACAGCTAAATTGACATAGAGTATATATATTGATTGAAAAAATTTAAAAAATGCCATAGTTAAAATAAGAAAAATTAAGAGTTACTAACTTTTTTGGTGTTTTAAAGAATCTTTCACTCCATACATTTCTTGAAATTGTTCTTTTGATATTATATTGTTCAGTGGTGTAAAATGAGCATGGTTGTTGTCACATGTAAACAATTGTTGACCATTATATTCACCATTTCCCATTCCAAAAGAATGATCCTATTTAGAAAATGTACAAAACAATATGATCAAACCATATCTCAACAATAAACTAGGAAATAATGTTCATTTTTATTACCAATTGAACACCAGCAGAAATCCTGTCTTCACCAGGAACCCTACCAATGTACCTTATTGTACCACAATTTGGTTTATCTTCAATATAAACCCAAACTCTGTCATTTACTTGATGATTTGACACATTTTTTTCATGATTTAATACATTTTTTTCATGATTTGACACATTTTTTTCATGATTTGATACATTTTTTTCAGGAAATAATTTGTTCTTCACGCCGTGCACCAAGTTTGCACCTACATTTTGCACCCAGTTTGTCAAACCTTCTTCTTCTTTACGCAATGTTAGTTTATCCAATGATACAAACAATCCACAATCAGTCTGACAATGAAAATATTTTCTTCCTTTAAAGTCCCCATGTGTTGTTCCCCGTCCTTTTCCATCCTGAAATTGGAAAAAAATTAAATTTAAAAAAGAAGAAAGGTATCAATTTGGTATGTTTTCAAAACAGTTGAGCTTACCTCTAACTCTACCCCAAACATTGTACCAATCTCACCAGGAAATGTTCCTTTATACCTTATTACTCCTCGTAATTCCTGCATACCACCACCAGTGGGTGATCGAACTTTCACAAAAACCTTACTTCCAACATTCATTGCATTTGCATCGTTTAAAGATTTACTGGAGTAATACTTGTACCTTGCATCGTTTGATGTAAAAGAAAGTAACAGTTTTGCTTCCTCCTTAGTAAGTGGACCAATATGGCTAATTGCACATTCAAGATAATAGTTTGGTTTATCACAAGGATGGAGTCTCAAAGTACCTTTGGAGGTATCAACCGTAGTTGATGATTTTTCACATACTATTTCACCTTTTAAGAAAGGTTTCACATCTGCCTTTGAAGGATAAGAACTTTCATAGTATTTTTTCTGTTTTGTAGCAAATGTATCTTTGAGTAAGATAAAAAATTGATCGTTCTCCATAATTACAACATATAGATTTTGCCTGCTCAAACAGTCACCGTTAACCATCAAAAAACCCATCAATTATAATCACATCTTTAAAATTACATTCTAGGCACCATTTCTTAGAAAGAAGGAGACAAAAATCTGTTTCAAACGCCTTGAAATTTCTCCTGATGTGATGTTGTCGAATGAATTTCACTTTTAATGTTGCCGTCATTGTGAGGTCATTTTTTGGGTAAGGGGAAATCCCTTACGTATGTAGCGTCATTTTGTTTTCGTTATTGATAGGTATTACCTTTGCATGTGTCATCCATAAACTAATGTCATGGTGACTGCTAACTCATAAAGACTCTGCCGTTTAGTTGGAAGCATAATTTCACCTTCTAGTTGGCAAAAATAGCAATAAATTCCATAAATACTCGTGACGACAGCATGTTTAATATAATTATTGACGTCTAATAATTTACAAACATGGTATCCAGTCCCTTCGCTATCTGCCAACAACCTTAAGTTCAGTGACAGTTTTGGCAATTTGGATGACATTTGACGTTATTTACACGACATTTACAACCACCACTTGTATCACCAGGACCCTGTCACAAAATCGATACTATTTCAATAATGCATTCTGTATGTGTTACACAAAAAACATTCACTCACCCCAGGTCCCCATCTTGGACCACGAACGGCCCAACATATTTCAGTCTTACACATGGAACACTTCATCCAATCACAGCCGTCCTTTTTGATCAGAATGATTCCACATTGAGGACATTTCATGCCACCTTTTGTTCTCAACATTTCCTAGAAAATTTTTTTTATTCAGATAAAGTCGTTTTACGGTATTAATTTAATTTAACTTTCATTTTGTCTCCTGAAATTATTCTTTTTCCTAATTCAATAATTTCCATCGTTCTTCATGGTATACCTCAAGATATGCTTGTGTCTTTTTTGCAGCCTCGTCATTCATTGATTTTCGTTTTAAATCATCTTGATAGTCTTTACAGTTGACGGGAAAATGAATAGCTTTGCATGTTAGACAGTTTCTTTTGTGACAAACAGGACAGTCGAAATCATTCACTTCATCGTCATAAATACACCAGCCGTGACAGTTCGGTGTTTGACAATGAAAACTATTCTTTTCTTGATGCTCCGCAGTCGACAAACTTCGCTGAAGATACTTCTGGAAATCGTCTTCGCTTAAAAGCTAAATTTATAGCGGGAAAATAAAAATGAAGGTACTATAAAAGATGAAAAGGAGGAGAAAACTAGGAGAAAAAGAAAGCGTTACTGAAGAAGTGTATGAAAGAGATAGGAAGAAAGAATAGTTAGAGTAGGCAAAGTGAGGGAGGAAATGTTTACGTGCAGCAGTGTTAAATAAGAAAAAGAAATGTACATTACACATTACACAGGGTTACTAGGATATGTAAGAACTATTAGACACGACAGAGTGGGTAGGAAGAGCAAGTTTATGAAACTGTTTTCGTTAACAGTTTTCGTTAAGAAAAAGGTATGTATGATGAACAGGGTAAGCAAGACAGCCACTTCCCAATTAAGTTACATAAATTAACCTCTTGTATTTCTTGTGTTGTGATGATGTCATGACATTGAAAGTCACCGTTGTCAAATGGACATTGAATTTCGGCATTTTGCGATGCATTAATGTGTGCTACCAGACAAAATCTATAAGCACGAAAACAACAAAGTAATTTTTCAAGTTTGTTGCAAAAGTAAAAAAACAAATCGTGATAAAATGTGATTCCCACCTGCAAAAACTATGAAGACATTCTCTAAGTATAACCCCTTCTCCAACTGGGATAGTATCAAAACAAATTGGACATTCTATCTCCTCTTGATTTGATATTAGAGGTTCACGTAATGCAACGGACATTAACTGTTGATAATTGCGATTTCTTTGTTCTACAGCTACACGTTTTTGTCTTTCTTCCTCCTGGAAACACGACCAAAGAATAAAAATTCACCAAGTGTTATTTGGTGAAACTAAAACTCGGTGTTATTAATAAAGAAAACTGCAGGTCTGCAAGTTCCCTCAAAAATGATCGTTATGAAGATTTGCCTTATGAAAAAAGTTCTCTCTCTTCATCCATTACTTTTTGATTTTGACGATTGTGTAGGGATGTTAATAAATTATTTCAACAACCATTTCATATTACGCTAAACTCCATAATGGTTTTTATGCAATATAATGCATTAGATAGAAAGAAATCATGTGTTCAGTACAATTTTTGAATTAATCATACATTGTGTATAAAGTGTTTTTAATCTATAATCCATACTTTAAAGAAAAAACATTATTCTTAGATATATCTGTTTACTGTATCTTAATAATCATCCATATTTAAGTTAAATGACCACAAAGTCACGAAGATCATTCCCCTCCTCTTGGCGAGAACAATCTTGTAAACTCAGCAACGGTGCGTTCTTGCGAAGCATAAGCATCCTGGAATAAACAAACTGGAAATTAGTGACCAGCCGTAATGGATAGATATGGATAAGACAGGATAAGAATCTTTGATGTTTAGGCAGCAAGAACACACCGCAAGTTGAGCACAGTCTGATCGTTTACGTCATCATACCTCGATTAATAACCTTTCCTCATTTCTTTCTTGTTCAAGTATTCTTTGTTCCTTCTCATCTGGGACATAATCTTCCGGGATTTTATAGTTTTCAGGTCTACTCGCTGTGCATATCTCGCATCCGGGTCTCAGCGGTGAGTTCAGATAAGTGCATTGCGGGCATTCCCAGCCTACAGGTGCAGGTATTTCTACTCTAGTTAAAGGCATTGTAGGAAACGTTTGTGGATCATTGCGTTGGAGGATATCTGCTTCATGCTGAGAATCCAAACTTTCTGAACGACTCTCGACTGAGGCCACTGGCGGTGTTGCTTGGTTGTTTCCAGCCGATTGAACAGATACAAGATAGAGGTAGACTGTATGACCTGATTTACGTATCCCACAATCCAATAGACTTTCATGAGGATTAGGGAGACGCTTGCTAATTATCCAACGTTGAATTTCGGTTGGAAATTGAAACTTTGCTTGCACCTATAGGACAATTTTTACATAAGAGAAAAAATTCCTTCCTTTAGTAAATTACGTCATATGAATGTCTTTACTAATATGGTCGAGTTACAATATTATGAAAGATTTTCCATTCTTTTCTGTATAAAAAGAAGTTTCAAATTTCTTGATGAAGAAATCAAACATTTTCCTCGTGCTTAAATGATCACCACGTTCAAACACGTTTATCCATATATTTATAACCTTGAAGAAGACTCGAAGCTTCGAGTCGAAAGCTCAATAACATTATTTAAAAAATCCGGAGAAACTTTTATTTTTTCAACCATAGATACATTTATATATATGTATAACAGAATCTAAAAGATATACAACGAAGAAACACGTTTTTTTGTTAAGTCGTTTACTTCAAAGAGTTTGAACTGTTTGTAAACAATGTACAAACATCACCGCCCCTCTCCTCCATTTTGGTAACTTAATTAAAGTTTCCATAAAGACCTATTGAATTATTGAATTATTGAAAACAAATATGTTTGCGAGAATTTATGGCCATTCTTCACTATAAAAATACTCACTATCTGTTTGAGTTGATTCAGAGTAATTTGCGGTGCAACATCAAGACGAAAACTACATCCTGTTGCCTCTTTATCTTCTACTTGCACTTTAAGGCTGAAAATAGTGAAGATGATTGAAATACACGATAACGGAAAGAGGAAATGATTGAAAGACGAACAATAGGAACGCTGACTTTCTATAAGGATTGCGTCAACGTCTTTAAAAAACACTTTGATTATAACATTTTAAATTCAGCAATAGATTGTTAGAAAATGTTAGTTGTTTATGCAGTGGTAAAATTCATGTCATAATTTTATAAATCATGAAAGAACATCTGTATACGTGAAGTGGCAATTGACAAGTAGCAAGTGACTTTTTACTTCATCAAAAAGGTACATCATAGTGACTTTTAGCGATTATTAACCTCTAACACTACGCAGCTTATGACAGAGTAAAGAAGAAAAGTGAAGCAATAAGTACAACTCAACTTATAAAAGCGTCTCATATGTTAAAGCGTGTTACAGCCTATTTAAGCGTGTCTTAGACACTTTAAGCGCATCAAAGCCTCTCTTAGCGCGATGCAGCATCTTGAAGCGCTTTTCAACATCTTTCAACATCTTTCAGCGCGTCGCAGCTTCTTTAAGCTCGTTACAGTGTTTCAATAAAAAACGTGAAAGCGTGTTACAGCAGTTGAGCACATTTTTCCTAGTCCACGTGTTAAAACTTTGAACTTTTTGACCCTGATGGCAAAATCGGATAAAGTAACGAAAAGGAAAAGTTCAGGATATGGTTAACTAACTTTATTGTGCTAGCATCGCTTCCTTCTAAGTTTGATTGAGAATTTTTAAGATCATCAATTCTGATCACAACAGCAGCTTTTTTTGATGCCAACTGTCGTGCAAGTTCACTGGCAAACTGATCATTTCCCTGACGTATAGCCTCACTTAGTGTCAGACAAATGTTATCTAAATACAAAAATAAAATGCAAGATATACACAGTGTATGATTACAACCAAAACCGCAAGGGAAGATCATTTATTCATACTTAAATATTGCTGTTGATCACCATTAGGTTCTATGAGTTTATTGATGGACTTTTCTTGGATATTTGCCACGGTTTTTTTGGCTTTGTGTGCATCTAAAGTGAAGGAAATTGTTATCAGCCATTTTTCACGCATTATATTATAGTCAGAAGGAGTAGTGGATCCAGAGTCGGGAAGAATATATTTTTAAAGATATATTTACATTTTAAAATACTTCGTTATTGAATGAATTCTGTTGAGAGTATTTTATTATTTGAAATTCTTTACAATTTTTAACCAAAAGCAATGCTAAAAAGGTCTTTTGAATTTAAAATGAGCTTAGGATAATATTTCATTTTGAGTCACCCTTGACTCATCACTATCTGGATTAATCAATTCATAATAATAACAAAAGATTTGTGTCGAATTATTAAACTTACAAGTCAGGCTTGATCTTTTTATTGAATAGTAAACAAAATTTTTCATTTTTTAACCAATATAAAATAAAATATCTACGAAAACTTCACCATTGCCGGTTTTACACACCGATCACAGAAATTTTCAAAAATTAAACAACAATTCAAAGATGTGAATGGATAAAAACTTTCTAAGCACGAAATACTTTCACCTTTGATTGATATCAAAATATTTTGTAGGACAACAGCAAATGTCTCTCCTTGCGAGGGTTGAATACTAAAGCCCCACACGAACAAGCCATTATCAAGAAGGCTGAAAAAATTCTGTTGGAGCTGTTTGAAAACTGTATTTGCCCGTAACAGGATCCTTGCTTTGACCTGATGCAGAAATAATACCGAATTTAATTAGATCAACATTAATATACGAACAAACTGAAACACAATTCTTTAATAAAATAAATTCCTTAAATATATTAACAGTATTAAAATCAGATTAAAAAGTCCAAGTAAATGCCACTATACTTGTTATTATTGTACCATAAAAGACGACATTAAAAGTGCACTAACTAAAAACTACCTCAAATTTTGATACGTCGTTAACAACGAACATAATGTAACTTCCGGATTTTTGTATAAGGAGAATCTTGTGAGTCTTGTTCCCAAACACATCTTCCCAATGCAAGTTGTTTTTAAAAACATACACGGTCCCCTTGCACGAAGCTAACAGACCCGCCATTTGACCAGGAGGAGAAATAGGAGGCGCATGGGAAGACATAGCGATGCTGGCCATCTTGGTTTAAATATTTGATAAAAAAAAGTCAGAATTTCCTTTATAATTTGCAAATGTTGTACGCATTGTTTATAATGAAAAACGTGATCAAACGCTTTCCAGAATCATTTCTTTCTTTCTCTGCTACTTTTCTATCATTTTATCGTCGAGGTTTCGTGTCATTAATAAATTATAACGATGATTTAAATTCACCAACAAACGACGACAATAACATACTTTTGGTTTTGTTTTCATTTTCTCGAAAAACTAAAGAATGCTAGCAACCCCCCTTCATATTATTATGCGTAACACCCCCCTGTTTTTTCACTTCCTTTCATGTAAGTTAAATAATACAAAGTTCATTTACCGAATTATATCAATATTATATATAAACAATACAGCATGGCGGCAGAGTTGGAATTTATTTTTGGTCGACTTCTTGTTCCTAACAACACTGTCATTAAACAGGTAGGGCTTAGTTGATAAAACTTTTACAAAAGCTATTGTTTACGCACACTATTTCGGCTTTTAAAGGCTACTAACGAGTTACGAGCTTTTTTCCAACTTGCAACCGAAGAAATTGTTCCAGTTCTTGTGACAGTACTGAGATCTTCTCAAAGTCCTCAGGTAACTGATATTTCGTAGTGTGTGATGAAATTTTTACTACTTTTCTATCGCCAAATCATCACTGCATACAAAGTTCAATGTATTTTCCAAGGCTCGTCAGTACGCAGCTATATTATTGAGACGTCGAGTGATAAAGCAATGGACCAAACTTAGTGAACAACTTCAGACTTTGTAAGAATTATCAAATATATATACTCCTAGTTTTGAAATATGCTTCCCATTACACATACACCTTAGACAAATATGTATCATCCTTTAGTAAATCATAGAGATGTGTATTGTCACTCTAGTAATCAACCCATAGTAATCAACTATTACTAGCTAACTCTAGTAATCAACCATAGAGAAGTGGATGCTTACCATTTTATAGTTTAATGAAAGATAGAAAAGTATGTGGTATACTGTATTTAACCATAGAAAAGTATGTGGTTTACTCTATTTAACCTTAGAGAATTTGATATAGTGTTATACACCATACAAATATATGTACTATTCTGTAAGTTACCATAGTATTTTGTACATTCTTATTGAACTCAGGTTAAAACAAACTGTATTGGAAGTCCTTGTTAGTGAAAGAGAGTAAGTGACTAACATTTGTCTTAATGCTACACTTTCTTAAGGATTTGATAAGTGGTATTCATAATTTTTTTTTCAGAAATCTTGTGCGGCAGTCAACAGCACAAATTGTAAGAAAAGTTTCCTACATATGTACTTTGCATTTCATGAAAATCATTATCTTTCATCACCTCAGATTGGTGGGATAGCAAAGCATGAATTAGGCAATGGACAATGGCCTGAATTGTTTCAATTTATTGAAGAATGTATGAGAGAAACTCAAGCTGAGCATTATGAGGTAAAAAGGATTACAGAGGGTCTTCAAACATCTTTTTAAATCCCAAGGTTATTCATGACTGATTAGTGTTTGTATATATTTTTTTTACTAGATTGCTGTATATGTACTGAGTATTGTGACTGAAACAGCTGGTGAAGAGGTTTTGTTGTATTTGTTATTTTGCATGAAGTCTATGATATCATGTTCTTCATGCATGATGTCGCATTGTTTTATTCATGTTGTTTTTACCTTGTAGCTGCGACCTCACTTCCCTTCATTGTTTCAACTTTTCTCCAAAACATTGGAGGAACATAAAAACCCAAATATTCCTTATTTTACAGTGAGGTTGGTGTAACACATCGAGGAAAATGTTTTTCAGTTTGTCTTTGCTTTGTCACATTTTTTTCTTTTTTTCTCGTTGAAGAGCAATCACACAGTTGGTGATTTTTCTTGGAGAGGATGAAATAGTCAGTTGGAGACTATGTTGAAATTTTAGTTTATATGATTTCATTTATTTGCCTCAATAAAATATATGACTTCCACATAATTACCCAATTTATTTTTAACTTTATTTAGAAATTTCTTAGGCCTCTCATTCCAAAGATTGTTAACACCATTAGGATTTTTTTAACAATTGATGAGGTTGTTACACAAGCTGTTAGTATTTATGAGTTGAACAACAGTATAGAGAATATATTGTACTCCATTGAATTACTTTGTGCCACGCAGAGCTCATTTTGCATGTGATTACCAGATTGCTTTTTCTAACCAATTGGTGCTCAGCGCTGGCAAACGACAGCTAGTAAACTAATTAAATATAAAGCTGTAAGTTGCACAGTGAAGTGGACTCACTGTATATTCCTTATACTGTGGTTGAACATACATCATGTATGTTGTATTCCAAAGCCATCATCTGAGAAACAGAGTATGAATACTGACGAGGCTATACGCGGATGAAAATATATGGTTTAGAATGACGAAATTTGAACTAGAACCTCAAGGAGACTAGTCCTGTTGGCTTGATAGCTTAACAGGTAAAGCGGTAAACTAGAATCCCGAAGTGCGAGTTCAAATCTCGTCTAGGCCAAATGTTTTTTTATGCGTATAGCGGTGTTAGAATTCATATTTTGCTACACTAATGACTTTAAAGTGAAACGCTTCAACACAGAAGAAACGTTTTACATGTTTGTAGATGTTGATTGTCCAGGTTGGAGCAGTGGCAGTGTTAAGGACTGTTTAGTGTTTTCGTTGGCGGTAGTCATCTTTAGAGTCAATATGCATTAACTCTTCACCAACACAAACAGTCCTTCTCAGTATTGCAGCAATCTAATCTGAAAGATCAACATCTACAAACTTTGTTACAGGACAAAGCTTGTGAATGTATGGATGTGTTTGACGAGCTGGTTGAGTCCGAGGTCAGCATTGTAGTTCCACATATCAAATCTCTTGTTGACTTCTGTTTACAAGTAAGTGAACCAGTCCTTGCATGGGATGACATTTGTCTTGACGTCCATTCCCTCTTTAGCATTTAAGTATCCACTTTGAATTTTTTGTCAAGATTGCAATGAACACTGGACTGAGCGACAGCAGTCGCGTCAAAGCTTTACATTTCATTGGTTGGTTGATCCGCGTCAAGTCCAAAGTTATCATCAGACATAAATTACTCTCTGCCATTCTTACTGTCATCTTTGCAATGATGGCAACGCATGGTGAAGAAGATGGTAATTGTGAAGGATGTGAAGACGAAACAGAAAGTCTTCCTGAAGCTGAAGATAGCCGTCCTAATGCAGTAGCCGCACAGGTTGGTAAGAAAATTATTCGGTTAGCTAATAACATCATTTTATCTTCGTTATCTTATTTGATGGTAGTTTCAACTTCATGTGTTGTTTAATGATGTTGATCCTAACATCGCCATCGGTTAATTTTTAAAATAAATCATTTCAGGTTTTGGATGTCCTTGCTCTTCATATGCCTCCAGAGAAGCTCTTTCCTCCACTGGTAATGAACGTGGACGTCTGCACAAAGTAGACTTCACTTTTCCTTCATCGACATGTGATACGTTAACCACCAACCATTTCGTGTCTTTTCCTTATCAGATGCAACTGATTGAGCCTGCATTATCGCATTCCAATCCTTATCAACGTAAAGCGGCCATCGTTTCATTGGCTGTTCTTTCTGAAGGTTGTGCCGACTATATTAAAAATAGGTGTGTTCTAGCTGTTGTCATCCAATCTCCATTTTGCTCATCTCGAACTTTGATTTTTTATCTACGTATTCTTCGCTCATTGTAGACATCTTGAAACTACTCTTCATATTGTATGTCAAGGTAAACATATTTGGCTCATCAATCAAAATAGATCGAGTCTAAAGATTTGAGATTTGTTCATTTTCTAATTTAGTTATTTAATCCTTATTTCTAGCTTTATCTGATCAAAATGACGTCGTACGAAATGCAGCGTTGTTTGCTCTTGGACAGTTTGCTGAACATCTACAGGTAGTCTGCTTCTGTTGCTTTTTATTCTACTAGAAAGTATTACTCAATTTTCATTACATGTAATTATCCTGTTCACAACGTGGTTTTGTGGCTTATTTTTTTGCAGCCAGATATAAGTAAATTTTCGTCAAGTATTCTTCCTTTATTATTCAACTATCTTGGTGAAATCAAAGGAAAATGTGATGCACCCGGTGTAACAAGAACTTTCTACGCTTTGGAAACATTTTGTGAGAATTTAGGTTAGTTAAACAACGTTTTTTTATTAAAGTGTCACTTTTTTAAAAAACCACTGAACTTATTATTTTCAGGCGAAGGAATTTTGCCGTATTTACCTGTGTTGATGGAGCGAATGATTGAAACACTTACAATGTCACAGGTATGGTATTGATAAGAATTTTAAGATCAGAAAAAATTTTATTTTGACTATTTTTTTCCTTATGTTTTAGTCAGAGCGAATGAAGGGATTGGCGATCAGTGCAATTGGTGCTGCAGGTTTGGCGAAATTTGAAATATTATTTTGATTTGTATTCTTAAACGACATATGAATGATGAGATCTACATTGTTATTTCTAGCAAATGCGTCCGGGAGAGAGATGCTTCCCTATTTTTCAAAAGTGGTTGAAATTGTCAAGGTGCTGTAGTATATGGGAAAAAACCCTTAATACATTTAAAAGCTGCAACTAAAGTGCAATGTCGACAAACGTTTTTTTGTGTTTATTATTTGTAGGAATATATCTGCAATCCAGAATTTGATGGCGCTCAAATCCAAGCGCAATGTTTAGGTAATGTTTTGCTCTGCTGTGTAGTGGAAAGTGATACACTCTTTTGAAGTCGTTTTGTTCTACTTATTTATAGATACTATTGGGATGTTGGCACGAGTCATTGGTGGAGAAAACTTCTATCCTATAGCTGGTGAATGGATTAGTATTAGTCTGGTAGGATTATTAGAGGTAGGTGGGAGGACTCTTGCGGATGAAAGTGAACATTTATGATTCTTTTAGGATTTACTAAAGAGAACAAATGACCCAGACGCACGCAGATGTGTGTATGTGATCTTTAAGTTTTTATTTTGTTTTATCTTGTTGCATAAATTTGGATGCATTATTTTCATTCCACTAGATACGGTTTGTTTGCTTCGTTATCGACATTTATGAAACAGGAAATGGCTGGTTATCTTCAGGCTATATTGAAATTTATGGTTGAAACTCTTCAGTCGACTGAAGGCATTGTGGTATGAATGATGCTTCATTTTGCCTGTTACGTACGTGTTTTGCTATATACATTTTCAAGTTAATGTATTCTCATTACAGACACATTATAACGATAATGAAGATCCTCCATTTTTGATCGATGAAAATATTGATGATGAAACAGGAGAAGACAGTGATGACGATTCCGTGGTTGGGTAAGAGAATCATATTTACTCTGAAAACCTCAAAAACACAGATGTGATGTGAATTGTTGAATTTTTGACAGGTATTCTGTCGAGAATGCGTATTTAGATGAAAAGGAAGATGCATGCAACGCCATCGGAGAGATTGCTGAGAATACAAAGTAAGTCATCAATAGTATTACTTGAAATGTCCTCACCCAACAATTCAGGTTATTTAACGAATAATTTTTCCTTCACAGTGCAGTGTTTCTTCCTTATATGGATGAGATAATCAGTGAGGTTTTCAAACTGGTACAAGTGAGTAAAGAATTATTTTTGGTTTTAAGAATGTTGGCAGAATGTCATATGATAAACGACGTACAATGTCAGGTTGTGGTAGGATAAACGATGTAATGGCAGGATGTGGTGGGATATACGTCTTTCCTTGTTTATGTAGCATCCTCACACAGGCATTCGTAAAGGTTCATTGACAGCGATGTGTCAACTGTGTTGCACTCTTTATTCTGTGTTGAATAACAATAACGAGGACAAAACTTTCTGTGAGTAGTTTCATTTCGAACGAGATTTCTTCTTCGTGTTTGTCTCAATATATTTTTTCCATCAGTGAACAATGTCGTCAATAATTATGTATCAATACTGACGATGACTGTCGACAAGGACAAGGAAAAGACTGTTGTCATGGTAGCTCTGTCAAGCCTAGAGAAAATGTTAAAGGATATGAAACATGATGTTTTACAACACGATGTTGAGAACTACGAACAAATTTGTAGCGCAATTAAAAACGTTCTTATGTTTAAGGTGTGGTGATAAATGTGTCTTCTTTGGGTATTTAAACGATAATGGTAGGATTAATGATGGGGTTCTCTTTTGCTAATCTATACCACTAGACGCATTGTCAAGACAACGATGATGACGAAATAGAAGGCGAAGAACAGGAATTAGCCGAACTTGATGGGTCACTCTTAGAGCATGCTGGTGACGTCGTACCTCAGCTAGCTGCTGCGGTTCCTGGGCCCGAGTTTGTAGCATATTTTGCTAGTATATTGCCTTGGTTTTTGAAACGTACGGTACGTCATGTTACATGTTATGACTTGATCAGCAGAATGTATTAGATATGTCTTTCTAACTTGTTACAGAAATCTTCTGCCTCGGTTGCGGATAAGTCGTTTTCTGTTGGCACACTAGCTGAGGTAGTTCGCTGAATATAATAAACTAATCACGTAGATAAGAAGAGTCATTTCTGTGATGTTTATTTTTTCAGATCATTGAAGCAATGAAGTCACGCATTATACCGTTCGTTCCCCATATTTATCCCGAATTAATGACACTCCTAAATGACGATGAATCAGAGGTTCGAGGGAATTCGATCTACGCCCTCGGCTTATTATCTTCCTTTGGTGGTGAAGCTATTTATATGTATCCTTTAAACAATCTTTGTAGTGACAGCGTAAAGAAAAGGGGGGGGGGGCGTCGGCGATAGTGATACTTCAGTCGTTTAACTCGTCATGATTCTTTAGAATTAACTTGTGGTGATGATCCTGTAGGATTATCCAGTTGTTAAGATTCTGTAGGATTATCCAGTCATTATGATTATTTGGATCTTTAACGTCTTCCTTAGTCGCTATCCGAAGATTTTAGAGGCTCTATTCTTCCTCTTGAAACGTGAAAAAGAACCTCGCAACATAGATAATATTTGTGCCGCCGTTTGTCGAATGATTTTTACAAACATCAGCATGATACCCATGGAACAGGTACTTTAATGTCTCCGGTACTCTCCTTTATCCCCTTTCATACATATCACTTTTATCACCCATTTAATTCTGCTAGTAGTACCTTGTTCATGAACTTTTGATAATAGTTGACGAAATGTTTATGATTTATAGACTTTTCCTGTAGTAATTCAATGCCTTCCACTCAAGGCAGACTTTGAAGAAAACGCAACTGTTTATTCATGTATTGTGCAGTTATTTCACAGTAATCATCCACAGGTTTACAAACTTTTTCCTTTGTTTTTTCAACCTGTCTTTGTTTCTGTCGGATTAAAAGTGTTATTTTTCATCGTACAGGTCATGGAAAATCTTATGTCACTTATCAAAATCATCGGTTCAGTTATACAGAGCTCGACCATTACTGAAGGTTAGATTTAAAATGCTGAGCATACATCGATATGATGCAAATTTTGTTGATGTGAAACATTTACGATGTGTGTTTTAGAAACTCGACAATCGCTGTCACAAATGGCTCATATTATTAGACAGCGAAATCCACAGGAGTTTGATTCAGTTTTGATGTCATTGTGTCCAGAACATGTCGCTGGCACACTTGACATCTTATCAAAGATACCATCTTAAAGGTGTGTACTGAACAAAGAAGGAACCTTGATGTACATTCCGGTATTTCAAAGTAGATGTGAGTGGATAACAAGGTGTGCTGGCCAGCACGAAGTGAATGTATTCGATCTATTTCGTGTAAAATAAAACAAATTATAGAAAATTTAAACAATTGCAAATAGGGCTCTAGGATATTGCTCAATTGAACCAAAAACGCTAATACAAAATCCAAAAAAGGATGTAAAAATATAAGTGAAGTATCATTTTCCGAAATTAATTGTGTGGCAATAAATATACTTTACTTTGTTCACTATATTAAACATTTAATAAATACTGAGAAGCATATGCGAAGTTATACAATGATGAAGTATTTTATATGCAATGAGCACTTTTCACCTGTCTTTCAATAAAAAAAAACATCTTGAAAATGTTTGTGCTTTTAACATCTTCTATCAAATGGAAAAACAAATACCTGGCTGACTCATTTCAAGTCTCCCAAGTATGTTATGCCATTTTAAAAACCTAAATTACAAAACAAATACATGACTGATTCATTCCTAGTCTCCCAAGTATGTTATGCCATTTTAAAAACCTAAATTACAAAACAAATACCTGACTGATTCATTCCTAGTCTCCCAAGTACGTTATGCCATTTTAAAAACCTAAATTACAAAACAAATACATGACTGATTCATTCCTAGTCTCCCAAGTATGTTATGCCATTTTAAAAACCTAAATTACAAAACAAATACATGACTGATTCATTCCTAGTCTCCCAAGTATGTTATGCCATTTTAAAAACCTAAATTACAAAACAAATACATGACTGGTTCATTCCTAGTCTCCCAAGTACGTTATGCTATTTTAAAACCTAAATTACAAAACAAATACATGACTGGTTCATTCCTAGTCTCCCAAGTATGTTATGCCATTTTAAAAACCTAAATTACAAAACAAATACATGGCTGATGCATTCCTAGTCTCCCAACTGCGTTATGCCATTTTAAAAACCTCATTAAGTATTAATAACTTGTATGTGGGATGCTAAAAATGAATAGAGATGTTATCTTCTGGATGCGCAGATGTTCAGAACAAAATGAAACTGTCTTTAATAAAAAGTTGTAATGATCGAAATTCATATATATGAAACCAAACATTTCATTCTCAACATGAGAATATATTCATATAGAGCACAATTTTGTCTTTTAAATTTCATTTGTAATATGCGACTGATAATATTGAAGAAAAAATGTATTTTTTCATGTAGTGTTTCGCTCTATGTGGTCTTCATCTTATACACAAACACAGCACACAAATTTCGAGACATGAAGAAAGTGAGAAATTTCTCGCTTTTTCTTTTTTCTTTTATTTTTACTCTCTAAGTTAATGAAATTAACATGTCTTGTAAAGGTGCAAACACTACTTGTTGTCTTTACCAACCATCTAAATCCTACAATGAAAAGAATTTCCCAGGAAAAAAATTTGTTGTTCTGAATTTCTGTTGCGTTCTTACACCAACGATGCCATTCTGCTTATTGTTTGAATGGCGATTTTCATTCGACAGACGAAAATCAGTCAACGTTAAACGGTTTGCTAGGTGTCTTTTTCAATTTTTCGCAAGAACTCGACTTTTGTGAAGTTCGTCGAAGTAAAGAGAGATCGCTTTCGAATTCCATTATTGAAGATTTCTTATTCTTCTGTGTCGATTCTACTGCACGTAACAATTCCAAATGAAAACATGTCTAACTTGTTGTCCAGCTTCTTTTTATACCCAAATAAGTTTGCATCAGTTTTCAAAAAGCTTACAATGTGTCCACCATCGACTGAATTTGTCGGTGAGGTCTATATTACAGTGAATGACGAACCAGGCATTAATGCATGGTAGACTGAAGACCAAAGTATCTTTCGCTGTTTTCGTCGTCTATTCAAGTACACAAATGTATTTTTCTACATATGTGTTGTTTGGACTCATTTTCCTTTGTTCGCATTCATATTCATTATAATGCGATTTCATCAATACTTATTTTCATGTTATACTTATAGGTATTTGGCGACATATGCTCGGCTTCGCTGAGATTGTATAGTATGTACTATACTTGAACATTCATTTCATCATCCATTTCAAATGACTATTTTAAAAGAGATGAAACCATTGGTGATCACCAATTTAGTAGTGGTACTTGATGAACCAGTTGTTGTTCAAGAGCAAGGTTGGCTTTTTTCAATGTTTTCTACCAGATATATCTGCTCATAACAGACTTAAGTGGTTTACACCTGCCGAGTTTCCCGTGAGTTTTATGAAACTTCAGAAAACGAAGAAACGGAAACCATAAATGAACAAATACATGTTTCCCGTATAGGAACAGAACACAACAAGCTCATTTCTTATTGGCTTGCCTCTAGCCTAGCCAAAAATAAATCATGGATTGCGACTCGTATTCCAATGAATAAGCATACTTTTTTGGCCCCATTTGATGTACAGTTGAACAAGAAAATTATTTCAAAGCACATTTATCAAGAAAGACAAATGTCTAGCCATCTTAAATTATTGAGGTCAAAGAAATTGGCGACAGAAGATGGACAATTCACAAAAATATGTAAGGACGTTTTATAAGTCTTAAACAAGATGATATTGTAATTTAAGGAAATTACTTTTTTGAATATCTTATCTTGTTGATAAAAAGTTTTCACATTTTCTTGAGTTTGTCATTACCGCTTTTTAATTAGCGAGAGTAAATGTGTGCGTTTCTAATTGAAGGAAGACTAGACAAAAATGGAAACAAGGGCTATCATTTACAGGTGATTATGAAAATATATAACACAGGTCTATTACCGCTTTTCAATTAGCGACGATTAATTAATACGTTTCTATTTAAAGGAAGACAAGAAAAGAATGGAAACAAAGGGATTTACAGGTGAGTGCAAATAGCAAGAATAAATTTCATTTTCTATTTTTAGGGAAAAAAGGATGAAAATGGAAATGTGGTGTGCGGTCGTTTGCAGACGATGATAAAAAAGCATTACACAGCTGAATTACGGAATACTAATCTCTTATATGGATTGTTAGACAGAATGAATTGATCTAAAGGAATACTTCTATTTAGAATGGGGCACGATAAATTTTATTGTTCACTTAGAGAGAAGCCGGCTCTTCTTCGCTCCTCTTTCTTCGAGTGGATCAGGAATCCAACCCGATAACCATACAATCCTCACTGCAGGCCCAGGCATGGCCACCCTTTTTTGTTATTCTTTAGAGTGCTTCTCTAAAGATGAGGGAAACCGGCGTATCGCGGAGGAAAACCCTCAGAGATCAAACAAGGTACGAAAGCCTGTCGATGGATACACATTACTTGGGATCACCTCATCTATTTTTACTAGTTATCTTTACAAAAAAGGACATTTACTCATAATTTTGAGGCCTTAATTATGCTTACAGGATTTAATTAGACTGCCTTTATCTTTACAAGGTTGTTTAAAGAGGTGATTTATAGGCAATATGCATCCTTCAAAAAAAACCCGAAACCAGCTTCATTTTTTACGTCTTTTTTAGACGTACGCCATTTTTTACGCCATTTTTATACCGCTTTCAGCTGCAGCATTTTTTCCTATGCGCATCCTTAACTAAACCCTGTTGATCAGTGGCATGAAAATAACGGGTTTGAACATAAACCTATGAACTATTTCAAAATTTCATAAGAACATACCTTTGAACGATGAGACACCTGTAAAGCAACGTTAGTACCCGAGCCGAAAGGGAACCTAATGAATAGGGAACCGCCTCCCTGGGCCCTCATACATTACCAAACGGCGTGCCAGCCAATCCTTCTTGTGTCCAACACTCGATCACCTAGGTACCAATTTGGCACCGTTTACTATTATTCCTACCTGGAACTACACTAAATGTATCGAATTAGTTCGCCTCTCTATCAAATCATCTTCCATGAATAAAATAGATGAAGACGTTCGACTTGATTTCGAGACGAGCAAACCCGATTCCTCATGAATAAAATTATCTTCCGGCTCTGACTTATGTTACTTCAAGTTAAATAACAGCGAGTTATTTAACTTGGACATGCCACTGCCATATAACATTGATTTTGCTAGCTGTTTAGCAAAAGCAATGCCGGGTTTTATGCACCTATTCTGTTTTGCTGTTTATTAGACCAATAAGACATTGTTTGTTGCATATTCCTCTTGACGATGCAAATCACTCATTTTTTTCCCACAAAAATCTATTTTAAATATATTCACTTGTACTATTTTTTCTTTTTCCCATGTTTGAGAGACATTTTAAGTTTTGCATGGTTCAAAATTTAAACAATTCAAAGGTTAAAAGTGTTGATTCTGACGAAGCATCATCAAGCAGGAATATTTCTGACCTTTATGATTTTAAATAAATTTAATTTGCCCTAAGCGGTTTGCATGCCAGATTTTTTTTAAAGTGCAATCTATGATTCGGATTTCGAAATTTTTTAGCGCGCTTTAATTCGCGCATTTAGATTTTCAATGTTTATTTATAGAATCGTGAATACTAGAATTAAATATAAACCTTTTTATGAACTAATACACACGACCAAAACTCAAAGAAACCCATGCTTATTTCTTTGAACTGAGGATCGTGTATCCTGGTGATCAAAAGAACATCTTAGCTATAATGATAAACTTACTTTGCACGATATCGGCAATATAAGATGTATCATTATTTGCAGGAGCCGGAGACTGCAAGATCTGCGCCATGCACAAAACTGAAAAAAAAAACACCAACAGGAATTAAAAGAACTACTAACTTTGTCATATAACTAAGCCAATGTTCAGCCATCTTCCTGTTAGTACTGATCACCAGGATTTTAACTAAAACACCACAAACCTAAAACGTCGTATTCAGTCTTCATTTGTAGATTAAGGTAATCCTCCTCAAATGATAAATCCCCAGGATTTATATCATAAAGGCCACGACAATGACGATGTTTATCCACAAAAAACGATGATAGAAATCCATGATATTAACCATAATGTAATCCACGACAGCCGTGTGTTAATCTACGATGACAATGATTGTGATCAACGACAACTTTGATTTAATCCACCACAAATATGATGTAGTATATGAATATGATGCGCCACCGTTGTATTCTTTCTTCACTACAAAACAGATGAAAAGTTTTAAGATAACACAAAATTCTTCAGCATTTACGTTTAAAACCGTTATGGGCAAAAATGTGACATAAAAGCCGTTATTAATGATGCACTGAGAGCTCATCATCGAACTCGAATAATCTTAAATTTTACTGTGAAAACTTATGAATTCTCTGTAGCTTAACACTATTCAGTGCGAGAAAGTTTTTGCAAGACAAAATGTTACCAACAAATAACATTACACACTTGTAGACGTAGATTACCAGGCTAGTATAGTCTTCAAAAGGAATAT